AAAATAAAATAAAATAAAATAAAATAAAATAAAATAAAATAAAATAAAATAAAAAAATAAAGCAAGCAAAGAGGCTCAGACTGACACCGGTAAAGATTTTACTCTTTACATAGTTGCTGGCTTGCGCGCGTGTGTATCGGCAGCTGAAAGTGCTTGGGCCAGTTCGGAAACTATGCAGGAGCAAAAGAGCAGATTAATATTTGGATAGGAGACCAACAGGAAATCACAGAACTACTGTATTGGAGTGAAAAGTTGAAAAAAAAAATCCTTGGAAATGCTGCTGATGCTTTTTTGGTCCTAGAGGGAAATGGTTTCTGTGGCATGAAATGCTTTCCTCCAGCTCCATTGCTTGCCAACTTCTTCCCTGCCTGTCATCCTCCCTCTCCTTCCCTTACCTCTGATAATGACCTGCCTGGATGAAGTCATAAAGGCATTAGAATTCTCCCTCCCTGTTTCTGCCTACCCTCCCTCCTCTCCCTGTACTTCCCCCCCTTTCCTCCCCTCTCCTACCAGGCCCACTCCACTTCTTTGTCCTCTTCCCCTTCATCACCTTTCCTTCCCTTCTCCCCCTCCCCTCTCCTACCCACCCACCTTTTTATTCCTCTTCCCTTCCCCATCTTTCACCCTTCCCTTCCCCTGTATACATTTCCTTCTCTTCTTGCCATTCCCCACACCTAATTCCCTCCATGTGCCCCTCCACTTGATCCTTTATCTCAACTTCATTCTTTCTCTCAGCCTGTCCCTCCCTTTCAGCCTTTCAGCCTCATCCCCTCACCCTAAACCTAACCCAAACTCTCACCCTCACTTACCCCTCTAAGAGTTGGCTACTAAAAGAGGGAAGCTTCCCCAGAGTCCAGGAGCCAAACTGAAGAGCAACTTACCTCTGGTAAGGCACCTTTGTACTGAACACTGATAACTGACAATAACTGACACTTTAGCCTGCGGGGGTGAAGTCATAAAGCCACTAGAATCCCCAAGGAGATGACCAGCCTCCCTTACCCTCCTATCAAAGGTCACCTCCTCCTCCACCTTTGTGACCTACATCCACGCCACACAATGGTCTCTAGGAAGCTTCCAAAACAATCACTAAAGCTGCCTATTTGTCATTTTTTGTATGGAAACCATAGCTCTTTGGATGTGGGTTGCCTCTTGTTATAGAAACTCCATTAAGTACTTCAGTACTGCTGACCAATTTAAAAGTGTTCTGTTTGCTTTCTAAAGTCAGCAACTTGCCTGTGTTTTATAGACCTGGAAATAGATTTATCCCCTTGAAACCAACAGGACTGAATCCAACAGGTCTCACTGATTTTAGTGGCACACCTTTGACAAACTTTGAATCCAGCCCATTGTCTGGAAAGACCAATTATTTTTAAACCAAAATTATTCTGCCTGTCACATTTGGACCCCTTGCAATATATATCCTGCATTGTTTTGTTTGAGAAAGGGAAAATATTTTAAATTTACTTTCTTCTCCCACTGTTTGAAGTCTCCGTCTTCCACGTCTTTGTTGCCTTGCCTTATTTAGTCTCCCTTTGTTTTCCCCATCAAAAAGGCAGGGCACTATACACAGTTGAGAGATGACAGTGAAAATGGGATATGGAGCAGAGGTGGTATTCAGCAGGTTCTGACCAGTTCTGGAGAACCGGTAGCAGACATTTTGAGTAGTTCAGAGAACCGGCAAATGCCACCTCTGACTGGCCTCACCCCATCTATTCTCTGCCTCCTGAGTCCCAGCTGATCAGCTGGGTCTTTTTTTGTTGTCCTGCACAGGAGAACGGAGCTGTAAAGCAGGTTAGTGGGGTTGGGGAGATACAGATTTAGATACAGATAATCAGAGTTGGAAGAGACCTTGTAGGTCATCTAGTCCAACCTCCCGCCCAAGCAGGAGACCCTACACCATTTCTGACAAATGACAGTCCAATCTCTTCTTGAAAGTCTCAACTGATGGCGCTCCCACAACTTCCGAGGGCAAGCTGTTCCATTGGTTGATTGGACAAGATAGAAGACTTCCAAGGTCCCCTCTAATTCTGTTATTCCATTTATTATGACTCTTTTCCAAGGCAGAAATTTCCTCTGAGCCTCTTGGAATGTCTGTTCACAGGCACCCCAATGTTTTTTGGTGCAGAGGAGGGGCAGAGAAGCTGGGGTTTCTGCTCTTCAAATGTGTCTCATTTATAACCTTGCTTGGACAAAGACAACTTCAGACAATTAATTATGCCTTGGTAATTAACTATTTTTTAGATTACTACAACATGTACTGTGTGGCATTCTCTGTGACCAATTTGGTACATTCGTATTCCAGGTATTAGTTCATGGAACTGGGCAATAATATTTTATTCCTTAATTTCTTTTACACAGTATACAGTATTACATCAGTATTTTACAGCTTACTGTTCATTTCTACTTCTAATTCAAGACAGCTTTAATCTATTAAACCCTTCAACTGCTTGAGAGCCTAGCATCTGATGAATCATTTCTTCTCACTGCTTCTTTCCTATATCCTAAAATAATTCTCAACCTTAGCAACTTTAAGATGAGTGGACTTAAACTCTCAGAATTCCCCAGTCAACAATACTGGTTGAGGAATTGTGGGAGTTGAAGACCATCCATCCTAAAGTTATCAGAGTTGAAAAACACTGATCTACAGAATATCTCCTTATGCCTCTCATAAGTTGTTCCCAACTTTAGAAGGTCTTCCCCCAGCGAGATATGGTCTGTCATCTTTTTTGATGAAAACAAATCCTCTTTTTTAAAATGCTGTTGTGGTTTTTAATTTCCTCTTGATGCTTTTGTTAATGCTTTATTTTTATTCTTTATTTGATTTTGGTACATTTTATATGTTCTAATAGGCATGTTTTCATTGGAAACTGATTTTTTAAATGGCAGTTTCATAATATTTAACTGATATTCATCCAGGATCACTGAAGATATGTTTCAGCACATTAGTGTACAAAAGCATTCATTTACCATGTTTAAGCAGAGCCTGTTACTTCATCAAGTCCAATTAGGGAAGTATATTTATGAACCCCTGAAATCAAAAAAGCAATATTTTTCTCTAAAGTTCTTTTTAACTGAAAGAACTCTCTCTGGGTGTTTTAATTAGTCCAAAACATAACTATGTATAGAAAATATGCAGAATGAAGATAAACAGCAGCATCTAAAAGGAAACCGAAGGCACTAAAATAATTAATCCTGTTTATAAAAGACGGCATTATGAAAAAATCCTTGAAGTTGATCCATGGAATAAATGAATGGTATAGTGTAATCTTGCAGTTTTATGATTCTTAGGTCTTTAATAGGTAGCTTTTTATTACTGATTTATTATAGTTATATATATATATGTTTTCTTAAGTTTTTGCGGGTATTTATATGTACGGTATTCAGCTTTGTTTGGGTATTTTCCCACATCATTATAGTTGTGCTTTTAAAGTTGTAGCAACATTTTGGCAGAATCTCATCTGCAGGGGGCTGGACTAGAAGACCTCCAAGGTCCCTTCCAGCTCTATTCTATTTTAATTCTAAGGCAAGGGTCTTCAAACCTGACAAGCTTTAAGACTTGTGGACGTCAACTCCCATAATTCTTGAGTTAACATGACTGGAGGAGGAATTCTGGGAGTTGAAGTCCACAAGTCTTAAAGCTTGTCAAGTTTGAAGACCCGTTCTAAGGTTTTGCAAACACCAGGCACATTTGGCAGTCAAACTGTCTCAGCTGTCCCATTATGCCTGGGGCCCCTTCCCTAAAACCTTATGTGACACTCAGAACATTTATTTTGGAATAAATGCACAGGACAGGCAGATTCTGGCTGCAAACAATCCTGAACCTACACCAAAGTAATGATGAAAAGTTTTACAGGTTAAAACCTACACTTTAAATTGAACCTAGAGATCTTTTGATAACCAAAGCAGCAACTTTAGCACCACTATTACACTGGGTTTTGACAGCAGCTGGACTGCCATGTTTGACAAACTGCAGTTGCTGAGTCACATGCAGTGTGTTACACAACAGTCTACTGTTTCTCAATCTTAGAGCAACTTTAAAAGGCATGGAAATCAACTCCCAGTCTAGTTTAATTAGTAAATTAAACCTAGTCAATAGTTAGCTCAAGGTAACTCTTGTGAGTGTTATGGGTAGAAATTTGAATAGCTCTTTAAAGTCCAATGTTCCTTTTACCTCACCTTCTGCTCTTTCATTTTTTAATGTTTACTTAACTTTACATTTGCTTTCTATTCCTCTCAGAAATAAATAGGGCATTGCTTTTGTGGGAAAGCTGTTCAAAAGTAGTAATCATTGTACTGAAGCTTGGCACTGAAATGGGTTGGTTTTTTATCCTGTTGGAACACCCCCCAAGCAGGCCAAAATTACTTTTTACAGCTCTTGCTACCCAGAATGCAAACTTGTCGAGTCCAAATCTCCAGCATGGTTTCAGGTGAAGAAACTCCCATTGTCTCCAGAATTCTACAAAGGGGAAATTTAAAAATCAGTCACAAAGTCCAGTGCAATATATAATCCATAATTATATCAGAATGAACATGTATGCCAGTCAATAGCTAGCTAGTTAAACACTTGGGGAACATATCTATTCCCCACTAAGTAATTATTTTTGCCAGTACAGGTTTTTGACTAAACAATTTTTCAACTAAAAAACGAAGACTGGACTAAGAGACACTGAGAAGAATCAGATAAGAAGCAGCATTGCCTGCAGCTGCGTAGTGCTCAGGGTAAGAAGCCAGTAAGGCACCCTCCCTAGTTTCTTGGGCTGCAAAGGAGACAGTGGGAGAATTGTACTTTTAGACTTGCAAGAGACTATCAATGTAGCTTTACAATAAAGTAGAATTAGCTCATCTGGCTGTAAGTCCTAGCTAGTTAACCCAGTGAAGCTGGCAGTCAGGTTTCAACCCACATCTTCCTAACATTTTGCACTAAGAGAATAATTTAAGCATATTAATTTTATTCATTACTAAACTTGTTTGCGGTCCACCTCACCATAAAGCAACTTAATTCCACCTTGCAAACCCTAGAACTCCCTTTTATAGAAAACCTATACAGCTATTTCACTGTTAACATTTGGATGTCTTCAGTCTTCTCTAACTTGGTATTCTAAATATGTTGGGGCTGTTTTGTTTTGGGAATTTTGACAGACGCAACACACTTGGATGGAACAGGGTTGGAATGGATTTACTAATTCTGAGTATACCACTAGCTTTATCTGCCTATATTACTGAATTTTTGCTGACTATTTTGAAGGTTGCTATTTTAGTATAAATCAATAATATTAGGAAAAAAATCCTTTCTTTTATCTTATCGAATCAGACTTTCTCTGTTGAATTATTTGTCATCATATTACCTTTGTTCAGTATTCTGAATGAGAGATTTGGCTGCCTCAGGCTGGGCTTTTAGCAAACAGTGGTACATAGAAAAGGACTGGAGATATCCCAGTAATTCAGAGACACTTTTGGGAACTTTATCTACAATATCTGTGATTCTGTAAAAAAAAGCAAAATATTATTTAAGGTGGAATCATAAACTTTATCCCCTGGGGTTCTGCAGTCTACTTCAGCCTCAGCAACTTGTGGACTTCAATTCCCAGAATTCCTCAGCCAGGAGCTGGCTGAGTTCTGGGAATTGAAGTCCACAAGTCTTAAAGTTGGCAAAGTTGAAGACCTCTGGTCTAGAATAATCCTAGGTTTACTGAGGTTAGCAAAGGAAGGGCAGCTGCAGTTAGTGCTTGGGAAAAAGAATGCAATATGTCTATTTAGAACAATGTCCCATTGAATAGAAACGGTTTCCCCTTTTAGATGTAGCGTTGTCAGTTGTAACGGCATTGATAAAATCACCACCAATTTCATTCATTCTTGTAATTTTGTACATCGGCTGAACCCCACAGTCAGCTAACCTCAGATTCATAGAAACTTATATATCTACCACTCACCTTTCCTTATCCTCGAAGGGCAGAGCATCAAATATTGTTTTATAGTCATCCGAAACGTATTTGACCCTTTCATGTGTATAAGGAAGAAGTTGGGCTTGAACCTGCATAAAAGAAAAAGGAGAAAGACATGATTTCATAGTAGAGACACCGTTGAGCTTTGCGGACTCCCTTTATCCTCTAAGTCAAAGCAATAGCATCAAAGTCTTTTTCTTCATGAATTTTCCCTATGTGCACTTTCTCTCCTTAATTACAAAATTGTAAATGAAACTGGCGGATGTCGAACAGATAAAAGGAAAGAGTGCATGCAGTGGATCTCATTCTCAAATGATGCAGATGCCCTGCTGGATACTGAAGGCAAGACAACCATATCTGGGTTGCAAGATCCAAGCCACCATTAGGTGGCAGCAAAGACTTTGGTGTTACCTCTCTGTTGCTTTTCTGTCTCCTGCACAATAGTGGATTTTTAAGCTGTGCAGATGGCAGATAGATAAACTCAACAAGATGTCCATAACAAAGTACATTTATTGGTTCATCAGGTATCCTCATAACTCACATTTGTGATGAAGTTCTTCTTTAATGACCAATCCTTTGCATATCTGCCTTGTAGTAAAAGATGGTTATCTCCTAACCCATCTTGTAGTGATAGAAAGCAGCTGCCATGAGTTAGAGAGTTCAGGCAAAAGTGAGGAAAACTCCAACCCATCTAGGGTCAATTTAGTGACCAATCAGGATTACAGATGTGGCCACGTGACATGAACTACATTTCCCAGGATACCTTTTCACTACATTTACCATGATGCATTCCCTTAAGGGGACAGCTCATAATTCCTAAGTAACTATCCAATTCCCATAGACTGGCTGGGACAGCACAGTTGCCATCTAAGATTCCTGCAGGGTTTAAAGAGGTCATGTAACTATAGGGTTAAGAAGATTCAAACCATTGATAAATAATTGAGTTCTTGATGTACTCTACGGATAGTCCTTGACTTCTGATCACAACTGAGTGCAACAGTTCTGTTGCTAAACATGGCAGTTAAGAGAGTTTCCCCCCATTTTACTCTCTTTCTTGCTACTGTGGTCAGGTGAATCACTGCAGTTAAGTTAATAACACGGTTAAGTGAATCTGGCTTCCCTACTGATTTTGCTTGTTAGAAGTTGGTTGGGTAGGTTGCAAATGGCTAACACAATACACTGGGATGCTGCAACTGTTGTAAATGCATGCTGGTTGCCTAGCAACCACATTCTGATCACTTGACTTTGGGGATGCTGCAACTGTTGTAAATGCAAGGACAGGTTTTAAGCCACTTTCTTCATTAAAGTTGTAATCTTGAATGATTGCAAAAATGACTGATTTAAGGACCACCTGTATGCATGCAGCAATAGGTGCCATCACTCACCTGGGTGCTTGCACAGTTGCTTACCTCCTTGAAGATCTCTGTCAGCTTCTCAGACTGATCTCCATAGTGCCACTCCATATCGAGGGTGTTGGAACACAAGATAAAGCAGCCAGATGGTTTGAGAATCCGGTCCATTTCCTTTATGAAGCGGGGGAAATCAAACCAGTGCACAGCGCTAAAGGCTGTGATGAGATCTACAGAGTTATCCTCAAAAGGCAACTCTTCTGCAGGACGTGCACTATGAGAATAGCAAAGCAATGACAGTACTTAGTACTCCTTTGCTGACAACAAACAATTGCATTTGTCTTCTATACCATCTCCTGGTGAAAGTGTGGCTGCATTCCCCACCCCCACCCCAAAAAGCTTTTGCACTCTGTTTCAACTTGCTTACCAAAAGTTGGCTCCTTAGACTCTAATTATGTGCCAGAAAAATCTTTGCTAATCATTAATGAGCTTATTTCACGCAAGATGAGCAAAGATTTTCTGTAAACCATTTTGTGGACATGTTACAAGCCAAAATTGTCCAAGTATCCTGAACATTTACTTACAGATATGAGACATTGAGAGGGTGTGCTGCTCGCTTAGCTTCCTCAATCTGAGCTTCACTTACATCTGTTCCAACCACCTTTTCAAAATACTTGGCCAGCAGGACAGTATTTTGACCTGAGCCGCATCCCACATCCACTCCCAGCTGGAAGCACTTCACCTTTGGAGGAAAAATAGCAATAAATCTCAAAGACAGAGAGTGATTTATAGCACTATCTTCTTCAGTGTTTTACAAAAGAAGAGTTTTTAGTTTTCAACAACAGGTCCTAAACTAATTGTTACCACCTAATTTATATACATCTTCTTGCCACTGAGGAATTACCTTGATGTCATGGAAATGCAGAGCTTGCTTGAGTTCCCTGTCTGAAAGATAAAATAACTGATCTCTGGTGCCTTTTTGTTTCTAAAGACGCTTGAGGTATTATGACCTCAGAGGTATTTTCAGAAAATAAAAATGTTAGGCAGTCACTCATCTGTGAGTTTGGAACTGACTAAAAAGCAGAAATTTTGTAGGGCTGGGGTGGCTGAGGGATACAGAGGGGAGGCTTATAATCATGAGTTACTAACCTTGAACTAAATTCAGGAAAAGATCCCATAGTACAGGGGTGTCAAACTTGATTTCATTGAGGGCTGCATCAGGGTTGTGTTTGATCTGGGGGGGGGGCGCTGGTGGGCGCGGGGGGGGGGGCATGGCCAGCTCGACATCACGGGCACCTGTGATTCGGTGGACCATTTTCAACCTGGGACTGCATCTCTACAAAAGTCCCAACGCAATCCGCTCTCCCATCTTTACCTTTTTCTCTAGGAACGCGAGGATCACGGCCCGCAAATTCTCCTGAAGCGAGAGCCTGTATTTCTTATAGAAAGCAGCGTGATCTTTATCCTCAAACAGGCGAGTGGCCATTTCTTAACAACAGAACTTATAAACTTTGACAGAGAAAGACTGGAGGGTGGGTGACGTCACCTCTGCCCATCTCCGCCTTCAATACACACACGGGAAGGCGGGGAAAAACGGGACGGAGTTTGCGGAATGGCTCCTTTGTGCACAAACCGGTGGGCCGCTTTAGGGATATTTTTTAGCATCGTATTTCCAAATGTGATGGGTTCTCCGGACGGGAGACAAGAACCAATGGGTGGAAGCTTTACAGAAAGAGATCCAAGTTTGAAAAAAAATCGTTCTTACAATCAGGAAATTATTCCTTAATACCAGGGGTCTCCAAACTTGGAAACTTTTAAGACTTATGGACTTCGACTCCCAGAATTCCTCCTTCAGTCATGTTAGCTCAGGAATTCTGGGAGTTGAAGTCCACAAGTCTTAAAGTTGCTAAGTTTGGAGACCTCTGCAAGACTTGAGTTTCTCAACCTCAGCAATTTTAAGCTGTGTGAACTATAATTCCCAGAATTCCCCAGCTTCTCGTGTTATAACTGCTCCATCATTGGAAGTTAATTCTAATTCTGAATAATTCTTATGTGTTAATACATATTCTGTGAAAGCCCTAAAAGACTGCTTTTGTCCTAGCACAATCTAGTTCCTGGAAGATCTTTGTTAAAAATCCTGCTTCAGGCTACACTGTAATTATTCCTGCTTTCCATGGAAACCAGCTTTTCTAAGTACAATTAGTAACCTAATTGTCATTACAGTACTCAATTACAGTACTCAATACTCAGTGCAGGCTGTGATTGACTGTGGCTGGTTACCATGTAGTCCAGCGTCTACCTTCCTTACAGAAAAGCCTCTCAGTCCTTGATGTGCAAGGAAACAAAAATTACAACTCTAGAGATAGCAAAAGGTGAGAGTCACAACACGACTGCGCAAAGAAATAAATTCTTGGTTCCTTTTGCTGTTATGTTTGGAGAAAGTGAAATACTGTAAACCAAGCAAAAAAAGTGGGGGGGATTCATAAAGCTGCCAAATGTGGCTACCAATTGTTTTTCAAATTCAGATCATATAGCCTATGAAGGCATAAAATTTTAACATGAAATTTTAACATGAAGATTATACTTTTAAAATAGATGAATAGACACGCTTATAGCTGCTGTAGATAATTCACTGTGCATTTTGATGTTGGAAAATGGGACTGGAGAGTTCACCATTCCCACGGGGATGATGGGAATATTATACCTTGCATATTTATGTTTCTTTTTCTTCCCCTTGTTGGAAGGAAAATGCTGGTGTTAGAAGAAATATTCTTCTGGGTTCATTTCCAAGTGGGGGAAAAGACACTGGAAACAACATGGAGGCTGGTTGGAAAGAAAGTTTAATGAGGAACAGAACCAACAGCCATCCTGGGTCAGCTGAACCAGAACCACAAACCCTGGTGGTTCTGTTCATAAATAAATGGACCTTTCTTTCCAATCAGTCTCCAGCCTCCATTTTGTTTCCAGCATCTTTCTCCCAACTTTGAACTGAATGAGATGGATTTTTCTTCCAACAGCCTGTATACCAATAATAAAAAGCAACATCATGCATATATTTCAGTAGTCATAGTAACATAGTTCAATCAAAGATTACAAAGTATGTAAATACCTTTACCTGTTCAATAACATTCTTAAGTCACTTGGTATCAGGATCTTGACTTAATGGACAGGCATTCTTGAGCAGAATGGCAAAACATCTGCTTCCCATCAATTGCTGTCATCCTTGCCTAACAAACCAGGTCAATCCATGGGTAAGCACACTGACAGATACAAAGCACCATCCCCCAAAACAACATGCCATATGCTAAATAATAATTAATACATAAAAAACATTACAATGGGCTGTCCCAACAAACAGACCCACATTTTAGTCCAGTACAGTGTTTCTCAAACTTGGCAACATTATATGTGGACCTCAACTCCCAGAATTCCAGTGGAGGGGAAGTCCATACATCTTAAAATTGCCAACTATACTGCTCTAGCCTAGCATATTGTGCAGACTTCATGGTTAGTTCAGTGTTTCTTAAACTTTTCGCAGTCAGGACCCCTTTCCACTTTTAATAATAGGGAGGACCACAAAAGAACTTTTGTTTGTGGAGGTTATATTTATCAATATTTATTAACATTCGTAGAATATTATTGAATCATGTTAAAATAACAACATTGATCCCATTAGATCCTAACCTAAAATATTTTTCATTAAAAATCTTTATTTTTTAATTTAAAAATAATGAGAAGAGTCACCTTGTGTAATAGTACATGAACCCTCGGACCACACTTGAAGAAACACTACTATAAGACACTGTACGTTAACATTTGAATAGCATGATATTATACCACTTTTTGGAAAAAAAATTTGTCAAAACATTATTGCATCTCCCTTTATTTGCACACCCAATATCAGTTGTTTCTTTAACTGTTCCTCACAGGCTTGGTTTTAAATGCTGTAGTTGCTGTCCTATGGTGGTGTTCCAGTTTCACCACATCCTTTTGAAATTGCATTACCCAAACTGGACCCCATATTTTCAAGTGCAACCTAGCCAGCAAAAAGTACAGTACAGGAACTATTAGCATAAATCAGCGGAAAGCATTTTTAATATCATCCAGGATTGTATGCACCTTTTTTGCTGCTACATCACTGGTCTGGATCATTACCAGATTTTTTTTTCACATGCAGGTCATAAAATTGGGTGCAGTCATAAGTTCACCCCTGCCTGTACTATACAATACAAGCTCTCCACCTTAAGAACTAGAGGTGGTATGCAGTAAGTTCTGGAGAATCGGTAGCGGAAATATTGAGTAGTTCGGAGAACCGGCAAATACCGCCTCTGACTGGCCCTGCCCCCATCTATTCTCTGCTTCCCGAGTCCCAGTAGATCGGCTGGGTCTTCTTTTATTGCCTGCATAGGAGTTCGGAGCTGGAAATCAGGTTAGTGAGGTGAGGAGGGAATGGAGATTTTACACTATCCTTCCCCTGCCACGCCTACCAAGCCACACACACCAAGCCACGCCCACAGAACCAGTAGTAAAAAATTTTGAATCCTACCACTGTTTAGAACACATAACTCAGACCCCCACAAGAAAAAAAAAAAGCCAATTATACACCAAGATGAACGTACTGTAGATTTTTAAACTCCTTCCAAACCGCAGAGCAGAATGTCTCACTGTTTATTATAGCTTTTTTTCCTGTCAGTTCTTGAATGATTATTTTCAGTGTTTGACACCTTGGCTGTAGTAAAGATATGATTCCTAAAAGGAGGATGAAAGAAACCTCCAGCTGGATTTTCTGCTTCTTGTGCACGCAGGGAATTTCGGCTCCTTGTCTTGTTGCCAGGCTATGTAGGAGTAAAGAAAAGACATGAGCTACTTAAGGAACAGGCGGATAGTTGGAAACAGAGTGAGTCATAATTGGTGCAATGAGGGGGATCTTTCCTCTGAAGTTAGAAACAAGCAGAGAAATTATGTATGTCCAATACTTAAAACCCTTCACTGGTGCAAAAAAAGGATTGAATTTCTAAAGGTGCTTTTTCAATGGGATTTTCTTTGTTTTTCCTTGAAGGCATTTCACTTCTCATTCTAGAAGCTTCTTCAGTTCTGACTGAATGGTGGAGAATGGAAGGAAGGCACAGATAAACCTTAACCACCCAGAAAGAATGTTAATGACCAGATGACTGCAAGGAATATAAATCCTCCCATTCCCCACCATTCAGTCAGAACTGAAGGCACTCCTAGATATATCTACCTCCTACTCAAGGAAGAACCATGTTCAGGAGGAAACTCAAATTGTCCACAGGTTTCTGAGCAGCTCCACCCAGAACCAAAGATACATCCTCTTCAGATCTGGGTCCTTGAGAGCCCCAAATCCACAAGCTCCCAGTTTTACTTGGGTATAGTCAAACCTGTTCCTCCCCATCCCACAGAAATCAAAACAGGATTCCTTGACTGGCAAGGACCATCATATCTCACTGATATCATCAGGTGATGGCATGGCTTTCTTGTCCCAACGAATGACCTCACCCAACGACTTCAGACAGAGGTTAAGGCACCTCACGAACAGTGAAATAGCTATGTATTCAATGAGGATCAGTTCCACCACCAACGTCTACATAAAGATAAAAGTTCTCCACGCACATATGTGCTAGTCGTTTCCGGCTCTAGGGGGTGGTGCTCATCTCTGTTACAAAGCCAAAGAGCCAGCACTATCCGAAGATGGTCATGTGGCTGGCATGACTAAATGCCGAAGACGCATGGAATACTGTTACCTTCCCACCAAAGGTGGCCCCTATTTTTCTACTTGCATTTTTTGTGTGCTTTCGAACTGCTAGGTTGGCAGAAGCTGGGACAAGTAACGAGAGCTCACTCCGTTACTTGGCACTAGGGATTCGAACCGCCGAACTGCCGACCTTTCTGATCGACAAGCTCAGCGTCTTAGCCACTGAGCCACTGTGTCCCCTAACATCTACATAGGGAGCCTATTGAAGGTAGTCCTCAACTTATGACCAGAACTGAGCCCAAAATTTATGTTGCTAAATGAGACAATTAAGTGGGTTTAATTCCATTTTATGACCTTTCTCGCCACATTTGTTAAGTGAATCACTGGAGTTGTTAAGTTAGTAACACTTAATAATCTGACTTCCTCATTGAATTTGCTTGTCAGAAGGTCACAAAACTTCATCACATGATCCCGGGACACCACAATGGTCGTAATAATGAGTCAGTTGCCAAGCATCTGAATTTTTATTACATGACCATCAGGGATGCTGCAATGGTCATAAGTGTGAAAAACGGTCATAAGTCACTATTTTTAAAGTGCTGTTGTAACTTTGAACAGTCACTAAATGAACTGTTACTAGACTGTGCAGAAATGGATAGATTGACATTGAAAATTAAACAGAAAGAAGACACAGAATATTATCAAACATGGAATCTTATTTTATCAGTGGTTGAAAAAAAGGGGGTGGAGATTAAGAATGTAATCTCTGTATTGCTAAGCAAACTAAATCTGTAATCTGTATTGCTAAGCAAACTAAATACCCAGAAAACCTGATGT